TTAGAAACACTACCGTTGGATATGTGGGCTGCTGTAACCGCTCCAGTCATCTCTGAAAATCCACTTTCCACTCGTTGGGGATACCTTCTGTCCATCTTCTTTGCCCTCGCATCATAGCTACCAAAAAAAGGGGAGATTTAACATTCCAACAGCTTTTCAGAACTCATTTTAAGGGCTTTTGTTTATGATGCAGCACTTGACGCACCTGTAGTAAACTTTGTCAATGAAGAGCAGTGTTTTTCCTGAGGATTTGACATGGACGGCAGCACTAACTTTTCTCACCGATGATGGCAGACCAAAGCTGCTGAGAGTCTTGGGATAGCCGGGCACAAGATTGATGCCATTAAAAGCCCAGACTTGTCTACCTGTAAACAAAGACAGACTACAATAAGAGTTTTTCTGAGCACAGATATAGAGATTGTAAGTGTGATTGTGGTTTCAGCATTCCCAGATTATCTGAGAAGATACCTTTGAAAAAGAAAAGTTTATCTTGCACTGGATCCTCATAAGCAGCATCTATATTATTAGGAGCGTTGAGCCAGAAACGCTTAATCGGAAGTTGCGTCACACTTCTGCTCGGAGATCTACGCCAGAAAAAGCTGCAGAGAGAGACATGAAGATATGATTTAATTTAAATATTTTAGGTCTATATATACAGTGGGTACGGAAAGTATTCAGACCCCCTTAAATTTTTCACTCTTTGAATTTTTATTTGTATTACCTGTCCTTGAAGAACATTGTTTCACCCCTTAGAGTTGTAACTGCATCCAGGATCAGATTAGGGTCACAAGCATTAGGAGTTGTTGGCACTTCTGGATCAGGTTGGATGGGGGTTCTGTCTCTGTTTGGACCTGAAGGAAACACATTAAACAAATGACTGAATATTTTCGACTTAAAGATTGTAGATGTGCTCTTTAAGATCATACGCTTACCATAGAGTGACTGAATCCCTCTGATATCATCAGAGGGTAGAGAGAAATGATTCGGATCAGTAAAGCTGTATGTGGGAAACATCAGAGCCCCACGAACGTTGGAATGAGAAAGGCCCAAAGAGTGACCAAACTCATGGGCAGCCACCAAGAACAGGACAAATCCTGTGGAGAAATTAAGCAGCACTGTTTAGGTACAAATAAAAATCAAACGTGAGTGGTGCTTAAGTTACAATCTGTGGTGATGAGTTTATTGCACTACTAAAATGAAGAACTTCTGAAAACTAGGCTGCATTTAGAAAAACTCACCTTTTGATGAACGGAAAGTGAAAAACTCATCATCATCAAAATGTGCATCTCCACCGATTGCAAGAGAGGGAGCGAAAGCGTGAGCCAAAGTGCCTTGTGGTCCATCAAACGGGTAAGCATCACCATGATCTGTAAGGAAGAGTTTCATTTTATATTTAGTGTTCAATAAATAAGTAGCCTAATATATCCATAACGAGGTCTTCTATTTTAATAGACAATATTAAAGTTATATAAAAATATTTATAAATCACAGAACCGAACCTAGCCTTGGCTTTAGTTAAGCCATTCAAAGAAATTTTGTAATTAGGCTGGTACCGATTGATCTGACTCTAGATGCATCGATCTTGGAATATGACCGTTAAATCGTGAATTTTACGCCATTTGAAACACTAAATTCGAGAGAATTTGGATTCTTTAAATAAGTGTACAATATTAGAATCACATATCAAATAAATTATTTTACAAGTGCAAGGCAAGCGTCCCCTCACACAAGCGCTGGCGGTCTGTCGCCCTTCACGTCATCGCGCACGCCGCACGCTCTTTGTTCCGTTTTCCAGAAAAATACAAATGCTTTTTACTGAATTCAAACTTCGCTATTATTTTCTCTAAAATAAACCTGTGCCATTTTATAAATATCATAAATGTGGCCTTGAGATAATAGATTAGGACTATGTGTTGTGATACTTGGATTTAACCCAAATAATAATTATTCCACTGAACAATCGTATTGTAATGACAGTGCATGACCAATTGGTCTGCATTTATCATCAGTCACATTGAATTAAACTGAAAAGAATTCAACAAAATATAAACCCAGATAGATAGACAACTTACACCTTGTACCAAAGGAGATCATGATGTCAGCTGTGCCGCTGTAGATACGGGTGAATTTCAGAGGAGTGACTTTGGCCCAGACCTGCAGGGCTTTCTCCATGGATGTATCCACTTCAGCTACTGACATGTCAGGGGTGTAGTTCAGGATTCTGTAAAAGCACCATAGTCTGTATTTGCTTCTTTCAATCTTTTGTCATACCAAGTGAACTGTTATTATACACACCTGTAGGTGAGCTTGTTGGTCTGCCATTTGGGTTTGCCTTCAAATGTGGAGTACGCAGCAACATCTGGAACTCCACAGCGGGGCTTCTTCATCATCTCCATTGTTTCTTTGTCCAGCTTTCCAGTGACCTTAAAGCCGAAAAACTTCTGCATCTCTTTCATCTTCTCAGTCAGTTGAATGGCCTCTCTTCGGACAGCAGTTGTTTCATCTGTTACATCTGTTAGATTGTAAAAGCTCTTCAGGTAATGCTATAGGATTAAAAAAAAAAACATGGAATTATTAGAGAAATGATGAGCAAAGACAAACAAAACACACAAACAAGTATCATATTAAAACAAAAAAAACATACCTCTGCAGTGGCTTCATCTTTGTCAGATGGCTGTGAAATCGGTCCAGCGTGAATAACAAGCACCAGGCTTGCAAGAAAACACAGCTGACTGGGAATCCTCATGTTGTGAGCTGCTTCTTACGCTCTTGCGCTTCTGACTGGCAAAGGTTTGATGGAGGCTTATATACTCTTAGAACTGTGAGGGTTTGAGCAACAAGATGAAGTCATCAGCCGCAAGTTTCTGTGAGTAAACCATTAAACTGACAGACAAGACGTTAATTACAGGTTTACCAGCTTCCTTTAACACAAACCTTTTCCTTCTTGCCAAGATATTTCTGTGATTTCTGTTCCACGCACTTTTATTTAACAGCAATATTTCTCAATATTTATATTTATACACACCGCAAAGGGCAAAAAAAAAGTGTCCGCTGTGGTTTTCAGAACTTTCCTAATACAGTGATGATTATTACAAGCATTTTGTGATCTTATTTTGGTGGCTGTGTGTTTTTACCTAAATTTGTCATGTAAAAAAACTATTAAATGAAATTTAAATAATTGTGATTTTGGGAATGGTCATTCATACATTTACATCACTAAAACTTATTTAAATGTATATACTGTATATATATATATATATATATTTGAAAGTATTACAAATTACCAATTAACAGGTTTTTAATAATAAATATTTTTGTACTGCCCTTTTAAATTGTTAACATAATTATGGGTAAGACTGAATCACAAAACCTCAAGTGCAGAAGTGAAGCCTGATGCAGTTATTTTTTACTCTGATTGCACTAAAATAATGCAACCATTGTTCCCTTATCAGAATGAGAACAGCAAGAAATCAATAGACATACATGGACATGTCAGACATGGTCTCAGAGGAAGTTCCTGATTCATCGTCATCTCTGGTTGTGATTCATTGGCATGGCGTCAGTCAACCCAACAAAGCCGGGGCGTCCACTGTGTTCATGTGTGTGCGTGCAGGTACAGTAGGAGCTTATGGGGATTAAAAAATGCTGATACACATCCAAACAAACCTTAAACACCTCCTCTTATATCCTCAAGAGGAAAGTGGTGTATGCATTCTCTTATAAAATGGCAAAAGTTGTATTTTTAAGGTTAGAGTTTTGTAAAAAAAAAAATTCAATTTCAAAACATGCCAAAGGGAAATCCCTAGTTTATGAAATGAGGCTCTGCATGTACAGTTTATGTAGTGTAGGATTTTGTTTTCTTCTTCAGTTTTCAATTGTCCTTTATTATTTTCATAGGAATTTTGTCCGTATATCTGAGCGGGCCCATACGTGACAGAAATAATATACTTGTTTTTATTTTACAAACACATTGTGGTAACAGGACACACTCATCCATTCCTTCAAAAGGTCATATGCAAAAACACTTCATATTATATCAACGGCAACATGTGCTGTCATTTGCTGATCTGACATTTTATAAAAGGCTTATTTATTGTTGCGTGTTTAGATTATTTGATCTTTCCGAGTCTTGAGTCTGAAAGGCTCTGAGTCTTGAGTATTTCCCAACCAAGCACTGTTCTTGCTTTCAAAATGAACATGCTTGCTTTTGAATTGAATTAAGCTCTTTAATGATTTTGGAAACAAGCAATACATTAAATTATTCTGTAAATATGCATTCTTTTAAAATCATAACAGCAATAAATTAGAAGTCCAGTGACAATTTGAACAATTAATGAATAATTGATTGAATTCGTTTTAAATGTTTATAGGCACATGTATTAAAGTAAGTGCTGTAGTTTTGAAAGATCCCATTAAGCTGCATCTCCATCCAGGTTTCAGGGAAGCTGACTAACAGGGCTGGAAGTAATTGCTCTTCAGCAAACGAAGGAGCTTTCTGTCGCTGGAGCTGAACTCAAACAAATTTCTCCCACTGAAGAGATAAATGTTATCTGGAAGAAAAGAAGTCCATTTGTACATTAATGCTAGAATAATTTATTTGTATTGTTGCAGATCTGTACAAAAGGAAGTTAGAAACACATACTGTTGGACATGTGGGCTGCTGTAACCTGTCCAGTCAACCCTAGAAATACATTTTCCACTCGTTTGGGATACCCTTCATCCATCCGATTCTCCCTCTCATCATAGCTATACCAAAAAAAAAAAAAAAAAGGAAATGTTAAATTCTAATGTCTTTTCAGAGTAAATTTTAAGGGCTTTTGTTTATGATGCAGCACTTGACCCACCGATAGTAATATTTGTCAAAGAAGAGCAGTGTTTTTCCTGTGTTCTTGTTGTGGACAGCAGCATCAACTTTTGTCACAGATTCTGGCAGACCAAAGCTGCTGAGAGGCTTAGGATAGCCAGGCTCAAGATTTTGGCCATTGAAAGCCCAAACTTGTTTACCTATAAATAAATACAGGCCATGATAAGAGTTTTTCTGAGCACGGAGATACAGATTGTAAGTGTGATTGTGGTTTCAGCATGCCCAGATTGTTTGACAAGATACCTTTGAAAAAAAAAACGTTATCTTGCACTAGATCCTCATAAGCGGCATCTATATCATCAGGAGCATTGGGCCAGAAACTCTTGATCGGGCGTTGCGCTGCACTTCTGCCTGAAGAGCTACGCCAGAAAGAGCTGCAGAGAGAGACATTCGATTTATAGGTGCTGTATGTAAGTTTTTGACTCTTCTTAAGCCAAAAAATAACATAATAAGTTTGTAGATATTTAGGAAACATGTTATGTTTACATAGCTGTTTCTCTGAAAAATAATGCTATAGCCACAGCCAGTAATTCTACTCTGAAATCTGCGTTTCGGGCAGATTCCAAGTTACTCTGCTTAATGATATAAACGGGAATCACCCACAAGCCGTCCCAGCACAAGGGAAAGATTTTACTCTATCGCTTTGTTCCAAGCATCGGGGCATCCCGGGGCACGAAATGCGCAGGGTAGGAGGGGGTAGTGACGCTGGGTGTAACTAAAAAGGTGCCATTGCCCGGTGAGGTCAGGTTGGGGAGTTATGGAACGATCTCATATCGCATAATCTTATTAACTGTTTATCTCCTAATCAAAAATCAAAATAAGATGGCGCCGACGCTGATGGCTGCCTCCGTGGCGTGCTCCGCAGTTGTTTTTATGTTTTTGTTAGTTTGTCCTGTCTTTAGTTTTATCCCTGCAATCAGTTTCACCAGAGACGAATTGCTGGACATTAGGAAGTACACACCACCCGATATTTCACCGGTTTTTGATTATTCTGATGTTTTGCTGGACATTGTAGTCAGGGGAGCTGTGGCGCTGATCAAGCGCTTCAGGACGCGCAGACGGGGGAAGCGAGCCGGCGCGCTCGTGAAGCTCAGACAGCGCGGATTCAGAACGCCGTTGCCTAGCATCCATCTGGCAAATCTCCGCACTCTACCCAACAAAACGGACGAACTCCTTCTGCTCTCCCGGACAAATAAGGATTTTTCAAACTCTGCTGCTCTGTGTTTCACGGAAACCTGGCTGAAAGACGCCATTCCGGACAGCGCGTTGAGTCTGCCGGGCTTTCAGCTGTTTAGAGCAGATCGCGACGCAGAATCAACGGGGAAATCACGCGGCGGCGGGACATGCTTTTACATCAATGAGAGGTGGTGTACAGATGTAACTGTGTTAAAGAAGATGTGCTGTCCAGATCTAAAAGTGCTCTTCATTAAC